GAGTTGGAGTCTCACTCTGTCACCCAGGCTGGAGGGCAGCCACCGCAGCCTCGACCTGCTGGACTTGGGCAGTGATCCTTCCGCCACAGCCTTCCAAGTAGCTGGAACTACAGGCGTGCACTACCACGCCCAGCTAATTTTTGATTTATGGTAGAGATGAGGTCTCGCCAAGTTGCCCGGGTAGGTCTCAAACCTGCAAGCTCAGGCAATCCACTCACCTCAGCCTCCCAAGGCATGGGATTACAGGCTGAGCCAAGGAGCCCGGCCGGAACCTATTTTTTTGCTCCCGATTTCCTCTGGAATGCCCCTTAATGTCTTGCTTCTTCCATGTTGGCAGCTCGACTGAGCTTTCTTGGAAACTCTGAGAGCTCTGGTTTCACACTCCTACCCTTGCACTGCCTCTCAGGAGCTCTCAAACTCTGTTGTCCAATAGAACTTTTTGACAGAAATGTTCCACAATCTTTGTGGTTCAAATTGGTAGACATTGACCACATGAGGTTATTGAGTACTTGAAATGTGGCTGGTGTGACTAAGGAATTGAATCTTAAATTTTATTCAATTTTAATTAAATCTAAAAGATTACATGTTGCTATTGGCTACTGTATTGGATAGCGCATCTCTGAAGAGTTCAGAAAGAAGAGTTCTTTTTTTGTTTTTTGAGTGGGAGCCTTATTCTGTCGCCCAGACTGGAGGGCAGTGGCTACTGCCGGCCACCGCAGCCTCGACCTGCTGGGCTCTGGCGATCCTTCCGCCTCAGCCTTCTGAGTAGCCGGAAGTACAGGTGCGCGCTACCACGTCTGGCTAATTTTTTGATCTATTGTAGAGATGAGGTCTCTCCAAGTTGCCCAGGCGGGTCTCAAACCCGCAGACTCAGGCAATTCACTCACCTTGGCCTCCTAAAGGGCTGGGATTACAGGCTGATTCACCGAGCCCAGCCAGAAGAGTTTTTAATCTGTAAAATGGGTATAAAAATCTACCCTACTTACCTCACATGGTTGTCTGGAGTAAACAAGATGATGAATGTCAAAGAGATTTACTCACAAAAGGGATCTGGAAAGACAGCAGTGTGAACTGAGTGGGCTTATTCTCATAACTCTGCTAGTATTTCTGTTAAATGGCATTTGCTGACTGTTTTAATTTGGTCTGTTTACATTTCTGTGTCTCTCATTTGACCCTGAGATCTTTGAAGGTAAGAACTTGTGGGACTGTTTCATAGTTGTATCCTCACAGCCAATGGCTGGCTTGTAGCTTGAAGCTCATGTTCAACTGAGTAAAATGTTTGGAGTCCAGAAGGGATTCCTGGTAGCAGGATTTGAGGTGTGTGGTAAAATCTGGGTGGGTAGAGAGGAGAAGGCAGGACAATACAGTGGTGAGACAGAGAGGCAGGGCTCCTTCTCCTCACTCAACATTCGAGGTCCATCCAGAGAGAGCAAGGAGCCAATTCCTGATGCCAAGAATGCTTTCACACAAGGTATGAAGCTTGTGAGAGATTGAGAAGGGCTAATCAGAGGAGAAATGATCTACTTAACACATTCTGCTTGTTGAGTAAGGCCAAACTGATTTTATTATTTTTATTTTTAGTTTTATTTTTTTTGAGTTGGAGTCTCACTCTGTCGCCCAGACTGGAGGGCAGTGGCCGCTCCCGGCCACCGCAGCCTCGACCTGCTGGGCTCCGGCAATCCTTCCGCCTCAGCCTTCCGAGTAGCCGGAATTGCAGGAATGCGCTACCATGCCCGGCTGATTTTTTGATTTTTATTGTAGAGATGAGTTCTCGCCTGCCCAGGCGGGTCTCGAACCCGCGGGCTCAGGCAATTCACTCACCTCAGCCTCCCAAAGGTGTGGGATTACAGGCTGAGCCACCGAGCCCGGCTAGGGTTTTTCAAGGTTTGGAGATTGAGTGGCACAGAACCCACATACCTGAGCTGGTTAGATCTGTCCCAAGAAAGAAGACAGGCTCCTGTGTGTGCTGGCAGCTGTGTTAACTGAATTCTTTGCTTGACCCATGCGTTCATTTATGCATTCTATTATATGATTTGATAATAAGATTGAACTTATCCTATTTTTTTTTTTTTAGTTGGAGTCTCACTCCATCGCCTGGGTTGGAGTTCAGTAGCACGCTCACGGTGACTCCAGCGTCGGCTTGCTAGGCTCAGGCAATCCTTCTGCCTCAGCCTTCCAAGTAGCCAGAACAACAGGTGCGTGCTACCCTGCCTGGCTAACTTTCAATATATTGTAGAGACGAGGTCTTGCCAAATTGTCCAGGCTGGTCTTGAACCCGTGGGCTCAGGCAATCCACTCGCCTTGGCCTCTCAAAGTGCTGGGATTACAGGCTGAGCCACCGATCCCGGTCAGAACTTGTTTTGTTTTATTTTATTTTTAATTTATTTTTAATTTATTTATTGAGTTGGAGTCTCACTCTGTCACCCAGACTGGAGTGCAGTGGCACGCTCCCGGCCACCACAGCCTCAACCTGCTGGGCTCTAGTGATCCTTCCACCTCAACCTTCCAAGTAGCTGGACCTACAGGCGTGCGCTACCACGCCCGACTAATTTTTTTGATTTATTGTAGAGATGAGGTCTCGCCAAGTTGGCCAGGTTCGTCTCGAACCTGCGGGCTCAGGCAATCCACTCACCTCAGCGTCCCAAGCGCAGGATTATAGGCTGAGCCACCGAGCCCAGCTGAACTTGTTTTATTTTTAAAGCTCTTACTCTTACAGCACTTTATTAATATCTTCTTTTATAATTTGTGCCAGTCTCAATTATAATTTGTATGTTCATTCTGTAATTTATCACTCATGCAATAGATATTGTTGAACATTTATTTTCTGTCCTCATTGTAATAGGCAGTGATACTAGTGAGAGCCATTCGTGGACCCAGCTATTCCCACTGGTTTCCTGGGTGTTCCATGATAAAAGTGAGTTGTTCCCTTTCCCCCCAGTCCCCAGGGAAGTGTTTTATCTAGATCTTTCTCATAAACTGGCACCACTCTCTCAACTACTGCCCGGGGGCTTGTTCTCCCTCCCCAGAGGATTAACCAAGGTTTGCTCAATGGCTTGAAGTCAAATTTCTCATCTGCTTGAAGTAAACATAATCAAGAAAATAAATTGATGGCTAGAAATTCACATTTTACACATAAAAGGGAAAGGAACTCCAGAGTTAGGTTGATTTTTTGCTACTGGGGAATACCTGCCATTTGGGGAGGTCACTGCTTGTTGGGACTATCATTTTCTTCACTCATGAATGACCAGGAATCACTATGTGGGGGCTGTAAGGGCAGCAGGGAGCATCCCATTTTATAGGAAGCAAGGGAAGGGTCTAATAGAGCATATCTTGTATAAATCCTAACCTGAGCTACAGCTCCCCATTTGTAAAAAGAGGGTGGGCCTGTGTGTGGAGAATAAGGTCTGTGAAGCCAGCACTTTGGGAGTCTGAGGCAGAAGGGTCCCTTGAGCCCAAGAGTTAGAGATCAGCCTGGACAACATAGACTCATCTCTAGAAAAACGAAAAATTAGCTAGAAGTGGTGGCACTCGCCTGTAGTCCCAGCTACTCAGCTACTCGGGAGGCTAAGGCAGGAGAGCTGCTTGAGCCCCAGCTGGGAGTTTGAGGCTGTGGTGAGCCGTGATCACTACACGCCAATCTGGGTGACAAAGTGAGAAC